GGTCAGCCTGCATGAATCTTGGCCCTCCTGACCTGCCTTCGGAGCCAGGTGGGCTGTCAGCCTTGAAATCTAGAGGGGGGGAACATGAGACCCAGATAGGGCACAAAGCTCCTCTCCCAAGGCCCTACCCACCCTGACTCCCCTCCTTGGGGTCCCAGGATCCGAGGTGTGGGGGTGGCCAGCTTGGGCAGCCTTGTCTCCACCAGTTCTTGCGGCTGATTTCAAGGCCCGGGGCCCATCGGAACTCCCTTTAGGTCCAGCACGAACACCAGGTCCAGCACAGGGGCCTCGCAGAGGGTTTCTGCCGCAGCCCCAGAGTCTCACTGACCAGGGCTGCCCGCAGCCAGGTTTCTCCCGTTCACGCCCCCCACCCACTCTGCGGGCCTCCACCAGCCCCCCTCCGACAGCTCACGTCTGCTCCTCTCAACACGAGGCTTCTGTCCTCCAAGGTCCAAGTCCCGCAGCCTCCCCTAAACCCCAGCCAGCCTTGTGTGTCCCCAGTGTCGCACTTCAGGCGGAAGAGAGGAGCTTAAAGCTCTGGTTTGGGATTCCAGCGGTGGCCTGACACCTGCTTATTTGGCTGTTAGAGACGTTTATCTTAACTGGCCAGTCACTGCACCGGCTTCTGGCCAATGGACCATCCTTCCATTTTGCCCAAGTTGCTTTGTGCGGCCAGATGGCCAGTGCGAGACCCAATGAGCCTGTCAAGCTGGCTTCACTGGGCCAAGTGGACGTCCACGCCGCCAGCTGTCTGTTAGGGGCCTTTAAACACAGGCTTCTCCCAAATGCAGCTTCCAACAGTGGGCGGAAAACTCCGGTGACTTCCTGATGGCTGTGGTCGTGGAGCGTGCTGCGGTTATACTTAGCGCTGGTGACAGCTCTCTCCCCGAGAGGACGGCGTGGGCGCTAATAGGTACCAGCTGCTGCATCGGAGCCTCTGGGCTACTGGTCCACTTCACAGGCCGGGCTTGTCTCCCGTGAACGACAGCACAGAAATTAGATCCCAAACAGCTCTCCAGAACCTGTCCCCGGCCTCTGTGTATGAGGTCCATCTACCGGAGGTGACCTCGGGAGGCGGCGGCGTGCCCGGCTGCAAGAGGCCGGCTTGTTGGTTGGCTTACGTCTGGCCTGATTCCAGAAAGGGCTGAAGGGAGAACATATGAAATAAAATGATGAAGTGAACGGACAGAGAAGAATCGTGAGCAGAGAAACAGGAGGTGGGGCAAAGGCCCCGGGGACCCGTGTGTGGCGGCTGCTGGGTGGGGGTGTGGCCGCGGCTGGAGTTCGGGGTTTTTGCTTGGTGTCCGTGGGCCCACACATCCCTCTGAGGGCAGCAGACCTCGTCCTCCTGGATGCCCAGCGGGCGCTGGCCCTGTCAGAGCCACCAAGAGTGGGCAGGATGGCCGAGCGGCCAGGAGGGCCTCCTGTGGGGCAGGGGTCTGGGGGTTGCGGTGAAAGGGGTTCCTGGAGCCTGGCGGAGCCGCTTCCTTGTGTTTCTCGATGGGCGTAGCCGTGGATTTCCCTCCAGGAGCACCTGTCTTGGCACCTGATGCAAACCTCTGAGGTCGCACACGAGCCTGGGGCTTGAATCAGGAGCAAAGCCCTTCATGCCCATGGACACCTGAGTAGCTGGGAGTGAGTCTGTGTGGGGAGGACCCCGGCTCCCAGCTGGAATCCGTCCGGAATTTCTTCTGGCCACTGCTGCCCTCCAAGCAGTGTCCACACCATCTATTGCAGAGTCCATCCTTTGGCCAGAGGTTTGGCCCGTGGGACCCTTGGGACGTTCTAGGCGCTTCACGTCAGGCAGGGCCCCGGACCCCATCTATCCTGTCCTGAGCTGGTCCCCGCGTTTCAGGGCAGCATCTTGTAAATCTTCAAGTGTGCTGGCAGCACAAATCCTCCCTAAACCGCAGGGTTTTTGTTTTGTTTTGCATTTCTTGTACTTTTCTAAGAAGAAGAATTAATTTTTTCAAGTTCCAATGCAGAGAAATGAACCAACTCAGGTTTTAATCATTGTCTCCCGGCTGTGAGTGAGCAGAACCCTGGTGCTGGGTGACGGACCCACCACGGGGGCTGGAAGGTCCTCGTCAGCAGGGCCCAGCCTGTGAGTCAAAGCCAGGGGCCCTGGGGGGGCCGTCTGCGCCCTGGACACTCAGGCCTCGTGTCCCCACACCTGGGAGGGTTTCCACAGGAATACGGAAGAGCAAACTTCTGGTTTTTCCCTGAAAGAGGAAGCCTGGATCAATCATGAGTATTTTTGGTTAGTTTATTCTTTCTTCTTCCCCCAGAAACAGCTCTCTGCTGGTGAGACATGTTGGCGCAGAGCAGACACTCACAGGAAAGTCCCTCAGGACTCCAGGCCTCCCTGGAGTTCCACATTTTAATTAAAAGCTCCTTCGAAAGTAAATGAATCAAAATTTTACAAAACGGGTTGTCGGCCTTTGGACAGCAGCTGTTTGCGCTCAAAAGCATAACATTGTTGTTACTAATATGTAAGTATTCTCTTTAATACTGAGAGTTAGGCTTCAGATAGAAATCTCATAAAACTGGATTCCCTGTGGAGGATATATATGTAGTCCTGAAGTTCTTAATCTCTGTCCACAGAAAAATAAGGTAGTGCTGCAGCAGCTGCACCAGTTAAAGGCCATCCTCTCAAGGCCATAAATTAACAAATCTTTACGAGACTCTGCAGGAGGACTTCCCTGACATAATACCGCTCAGTGCTGTGCTTGGCCTAGGTTAGGCTCTCCAAGGCTCTATGAAACTAAACTCTAACTTTCAGCATAACCCAGCTGTATCAGTTAGGTTGCTGTCAATTCAAATTCACTCACATGGTAACATAACGAAGAAGATTTGTGGGCCCCTACAGCTGACAGGTCCAGGGGATCAGGCTTCAGGGATGGTCTGATCCAGCAGCTCAGTGATGACACAAAACAATTGCTTTCGCTTTAAGTCTTTCAGTTCTAGCTCGTCCTCATGCTGATGAGGCCGGGGGGACCACGTCCAGCGACGGCTACCTGCATCACACCACACTCGAGTGACTGCTGGCCCCATTTGCTGGAGCCAGTGAACATCTCAGGCCATTCTTCAGGACGAGCCGGGGGCCCATGTAGGGAAAGGCTGGTGCAGTGGGCCTAGCCCACAGCAGCCTCACCAGAAAGGGACAGTGCAGATGGGCAGTGTGGCCCCAGGGGTGAGTGGGCTCCTTGGCCAGCACAGCCAGTCCAGCCCCCTCCCTGGGCCAGGGAGCTGCTGGGCCTGCAGAGCCGGCTTCCTGCCCTCTCCCGGCCCTTCCCGATCGGCTTCTGCCCTCACAGTCCCTATAGACTCCAGAGAGGTCGTCTGAAATGGACCATGTGGCACTGCTCGTCTGCTTAGGGACTGCCCGGGTCCCGTCACCTCCAGAGTAAACCACAGTGATACATGCAGGCTGCCTGCCTTCCATGTCCTCTCCCCACCCACCCTCCCAGGCCCCCAAATTGCAGTGGCAATGATGCCACTGGCGGTGCTGACACTGACTGTACAGGGCAGCCACCGTCGAACCAGAGCACGAGGCCAGTCCCCACTTCACAGCCGTGGGAACTGAGTCCCAGAGCTTCCTCGGTGATTTGCCAGCATGCCCGGCTCTGGGGTGGCTGCCAGTCCTCTGCCCGGAGCACAGCCCCCTTGACGCCCTGTCTGCTTGCTGGAAGCTTGTTGTTGGAGCCCAGCTGAGGGTCACTCTCCGCACAGTGTGCTTACAGCACCTCTCCTGCCCCGGCTCGTCTCTCCCTCAGACACCCAGGCCCACCGCTGATGCATCAGGCTTTCCTGGGAGTCCTTACGAGCTGGCCAGGGGCTGCATCCCCCGGGTCCTGGCTCTCCACCGGGCCCAGAGCAGGGGATGCACATGCCTGGCCACACAGGCCCAGCCCTTGGGGCAGCTGGGATGCAGGACCCCTCACTGCACTTGTGTGTTTGTCAGAAGGGCCATTTGAGCTGGAGACGAGGGCACACCACCTTCAGGGACTGAAAAAATCTTCCCCTTCCTCTCTCTTTACTAACAAGCACGTGGGGTCTCAGGATCCACGGCCACTTCAACTCTAAGTGGCCTTAACACAAACTCTGTGTTCTTTGTTCGCAATGTGATTGCACAGAGCTGACCAGCTCCACCAGAGGTGAACACAGACCCCAAAGCAGGGAAAGGCTGGATGTCTCCTGATGGCACCCCTCACAAACGCCACCTTTGGGCAACTGAGGCCCCGGGCCGGCCGCGGGGTGGCCAGCATGGGCCAGGCCATGGGAGGGGAGGGTCCCGGGCCTCTGTTCCGCCTCCTCCCTCCCCCCTGCAGCCTCAGGTCCTCCTGAGACACCGTCTCCCGTCAGAGGCCAGTTTGCTGGCTCTCTGCTTTGCTAGTCTGCCAAATTTTCGAGACAAGTTCGGGAAGAAATTGACATTTACTACACTGTGGTGAAAGGGTGGTTCTTTATTTTTGTTTTTATTATTTTTTATTAAATATATGTGATCAAGGGGTGGTTCTTTAAGCCCAAACCGAAGCTTGAACAGAAACAGAACCAGAGCCCTGGCCCGCTTGGGCACCTGCCTGCGAGGATGCGTGTCTGGGTGGCCGGTGCAGGCGCCGCCTTCTCAGGAAAAGGGTCTGCAAAACACGGACAAATTGGAACCCCCGTAGCTACTGCATTCCCGGATTTATTTGTTCTATTTACTGTCTCAAGATTGTATTACGCAGGGTTTCCTGATTTGTAAACATCAAAAGAGAACGTTGTGAAATTAAACATTTGTTATTTTAGTGAAATGTGTGACGGTCAACTTTTGCTTAAAATAAATAAAAATGTTCCTTTCTTTATTTTATTTTTTAAAAAATTTATTTATTTTTAAACATTTTTTATTGATTTATAATCATTTTACAATGTTGTGTCAAATTCCAGTGTAGAGCACAATTTTTCAGTTATACATATTTCAGTATATGTATAAATACATATATTTCAATATGTGAACGTGCATATATTCATTGTCATTAAAAAATGTTCCTTACTTTATACGGTACAGGTGTCTGAAAAGCAGGTTAGAAGTAGAGTGTGGCCAGACGGTCTTGTTCAGTGATGGTCTGACTGCATCAGAAACTCTGGGAAGAAGAAGTGAGTGAGTCAGTAAAACAAAATCCTCTCATGACGAAATTCTGTAACGTCTTTGCTCTGTTCACTTAGATTTTGGGATATGAGACTTCCTTAAATTTAGTCTCACAGGCGATGGAAACCAGATTTAACAAAGAGGGAGCGTTACCCGGTGGGCATTTGTCTTCTGGTCACGAAGCCAGGACTTACCATTGGGAGAACATTTAGGACAAACCATGGGCCTTTATTATTCCTGCCAATAATTTTAGAAAAATTACGTTGATTTGGGGCTTCTCTTGTGCATTGCACTCTACGGCTCAATGACATTGCATCTGCAAACGTCAACCTAAAAGTATTTTCCGGGATTATGGAAAAATTCTGACCAATTACCGGACGACTCGCACTGCAGCCAGCCTGGTCAGCAGCCACGTCATCAGAAGCCTGGCTGGTGGAGAGCGAAGCGTGAGGCCTCCCTCCCCGTGTTGACCCGGATGAGATTTTCCACATTACATGGACCCGTGGGGGCTCAGGGCTCACCACTCGGTGATGCCGTCCCAAGCCCGTCCCCTTTTAGAGAGCGCATTGACCCTGGGCGGTGGCAGGATGGCTGGGAGGATACGGGCACTCGATCATCCCAGGCCCTGCCGGTCATGGAGGCGAGCCTTGGCCTCCAGTCGGGTCTGTGCCCATGGTGGACGACCTGGTTCTCCTCCATCCTGGTCCCCGGGGTGCCGGCATCTTAATGTCCCTACAAAACTTTGCTCCCAGGAGGAGGGGGAGAGGCCGGGGAGCAGGGCTTGCTCTGAGGAGAGAAGGAGCCAACAGGCAATTATTTATTTTGCCCCATTTGGGAAATTACTCCTCTCTCAATCAGAACAAACTTCCACGCCTCCCCGTCCACCAACCAAATCTACTGCAAATGCCCCCGCCCACCTCTCAGATGGGCCCTGGCCTCGCTGTTTGCAGGTGCGGCCTCCTCAGGTGGGTCTGCTCTCTGCGCTCTCGGAAGCATGTCTGTCTGCTCCTATGGACCTGGAGAGAAGGCGCTAACACAGCACAGAGCCCGGCAAAGCGACACAGCAGATGCCCACTGTTCCCTTTTTTTAAAAGTTACTTTACATGTTTTATCAAAGTAATGAAAAAACACAGTCGGACACCGCGGTCCGGGCCCACCTCCCACACCCGGAGGAACAAGGTTCACCGGTGTTCCCATCGCGCCTCTCACCACGGGCGGGCGTGCGGGGCTCTGCCCTCCGACGGTTAGGCGGCCAGGTCGTCCCGCGGTGGGCGGGGTGGGGGCCCGGGTCTCTGACCCCGGCCGTCTCTCCTTGCTGCTGTCAAGCTGAGGCGGTGTCATCGGTGGTGCCCTGTGGCAGGACGTGCTGCTTCCCGCCAGGCCGCGTGGCCTACAGGACGGACCCGGCGGCTTTTGGATGTGGCTTTGGAGCCATATGCCCTACTCTGCGAGAACGTCTGAGTCCAGCTGTGTTTTCAGACTTGGTGTCCCTGTACTGTGTTACAGCCCCTCTGCTATAGCTTTTCACTTCCTGAAGTTGCCTTGATTTTTCTAAGCACCTGTTACTAAGTCTCCCTGAACTCCCCCGTGGACCGTGAGACCCTCAGGACTCTCCACCCGGTCCAGGGACCAGGGCGTCCACCTGCTGTTTTCCCCGAGTCTCCTGCCCCCGCTGGGCAGCTGTGGTCCTGGCCCGAGAGCTGCAGCGCGGGGTCCCCTCAGCTGCCCTGGGAATTCGTCTCCTCCTGTCTCCCTGTCCTGGTCGCCTGCCCAAGTGAGCTCCTGCAGGTGGTCTTCAAGGACAGGCTTGATGGTCTGGACTGGAAACCAGGTGACCAGTCTCCTCTGTGGTTGGGGCGGGAAGGGCTGAGGCCCGCGGCAGGCGGTGAGGGACCAGCGAGGGGGAGGCGGAGGCGGGGTCAGGCAGGGAAAATCACACCAGGGAGCCGACAAAGCACAGAGACCCAGCTGCCCGCTGGGGACCCCGACGCCGGCTCCCCTGGCCACCCCCCTACCCTGGCTCCCGCTCTGCGTGCGACAGGAGTTAAACTTTAGTGGGAAAAGGGCCAGGGGTTCTCAGCAGCTCTGGGGGCAGAGGCTGGAGGAGCTCCAGGATCTGCACTGGCACCAGTCAGGGGGACAGGTGCCTGGAGCCCATGCTGGTAGCCATGGGGTCCGGGCCAGGCAGGTGTGGTGCTTGCGGTGCGTGCCCGTCCCCTGGTCACCAGGTCCCCACCTCGCCCTCCACCCTCAGTGCCGAGACCCTCCCTCCTAAAACGCAGTGTGACCAATCCTCCTTCACCCTCTTGGGTGGCCCAGAGGCTGGAGGACCGGCTGGACTCCTGAGGCCCCGAGGAGCCTGCCTGCAGAACTGCTGCCGCCTCTGCGCCATGCCCACCGGGACTCCGGGCCCCTCCACCTCCTCGCCTCCGTCTCGGGGTCCCAGCCGGGCCCGGGGGTCCCTCCCTGAGGCTGGGCTAGTTGATCCCTGGTTGTCAGAGGCCCACACGGGGGAGGATCTGCAGCTCGCTGCTTCCCTCCCCCTCCCCACTTTAGAGGAACAATGAATAATTTTGGACTTACTTAAACTAAAATATTATTAATTCTCTTCTAAAATTCCAACCTCACTGGGCATCCAGTATTTTATCTGGCAACCCTTAAAGCAGGGCTAAGTCCCGGCTGGGTTGCCAGGGGTCGGTGGGGTCCTGGGGCACCACCCAAAAGCCATTCTACTTTGCTGTTCCTACTGCCCAAGTTCTGCCCAGGCCACGTCTGTCACCAGCACTGTCAAGGCCTTCCTGGCGGCTCAGATCCACGCCGGTCACGCTGGCATGCTGGACTCTCCAGGAGAGGAAGCGGGTTACCGTGAGATTGCCGTCACCTGAGGCAGCACAGCGGAGCAGGCGTCTGGGGCAGGGGCCGACCGGGGACGCGCTTTGTTAAATGAAGATTTAGGTGTCGAGGGCCTGGGGAGGTGAGGTTGCTGACAGAGTTGGTGGACTCAGAAGAGGCACCACGGTGGGCCAGACGATGCTGATTCTGTCTTAGACCTTTGAAGACAGGTTGGCAGGAGACCCTGGCTGCAGCATCTAGAAGGAAGCTGAAAGGGCCTGTAGGTGGATCAGCATGAGATCCAGGGAGGCACAGCGGGCTTCAGTGCAGACTCAGGTAGCGGCTATTCGGCAGGGGTGGGGGGCGCAGGGGACGCAATCCCACAGCCGGGGAGGACCCTCGTCGCACTTTCTGGAAGTCCCTCTGCAGCCGTTACATGGGGGATAGGCTGAACTCCTACTCTGCTCACAAAGCCCCTCTTAGAAACGTCTCCTCTCGATCTAGGCTGTCACAGGTAGCACTTCATAACTTGGGGGGCTCAGGACACCGTTAAAAATGATCGACGCCCCCGAGAGCTTTGTTCACACGGGTTGTACTTGTCGATACACTCTGTGCTGGCAGTTAAAACTGAGACGTTTAAGGAAGGGTCATCAACTGATTCGTTTAAAGGTAACAGTAATAAATCCAACTAGCGTTACCATAAAAAGCATTTTCACGAAACGTAACAGAAACTGCAGTGCGAAGAGCAGCATCGTTTTCCGCTGTTGCCAGTCTCCTCCGTGTCTGGTCTGACAGACAGCTGGCTTCTCGCGTCTGCTTCTGGCTGAAACGTGGAATACGTCAGGCCACACGCCGACACTGAGCTGGACTATTGCTGTTAGCCTTTTCAGGTGACGGTTATACTCTTCTTTGGATTCCACAAAACATGATACATGGAGGTTCCTTAAAGGCCGGCTGCCCCGTGGAATCTGAAACGACACCGGCAAGCATCTCAGACCCCGGGACGTCGAAGGCTGCTGGTCTGCCCTGCGCGCACCTGCCACCCAGGCCTGGCTCAGAGGCCTGGTCACTGGAGGAAGTGGGTTCACTGCAGCTCCTCCAAATGTTGACACACATCTTTATTCAACACCCACATCGCCACGCAGCACCTCAGGGAAGCCCGAGTATTGGGAGGAGCACGGTGGCGGACACAAGTGTTCCAAGGTTCTCATTTTTGCTTGAAAGCTCAAAGTCTGTCATTGGCAACGCATTCTGCCAGTTGTTTACTTAAAGTAACAGGCCCATCACTTCCTGGAGGTCTGCCTGGCCCACGTCCAAATGACCACAGTTGGCCGTTTTCTGAAGTAAGAGTGGGCGGGTTCAGCCCACATGAACCCACACACTTGTCTTCCAGGTAGCGTCACAGCCCGCAGGAAGAGGGCTCCGCATGATCCCCACTTGCTCACACAGAATATTAAGAAGATCTGTATCTGAGGGTTGACGTGTGATGAAACTAGTGCTTTTTTGTTCTAATAAGAATGTTTTCAGTGAAGCTGGCGCTACTTTGCTTCCCCGCGAGGGTGTGGTGGTGGACGGACCAGCACAAATTGGTGCGCCCTGACTGGCGCTCAGGCCAGCGGTCCCTCCCCGGCGGGTCTTGCGTCAGGGCGAACATCCACACAGCGGAGAAGGGCCATGACGTCTCGCACGGGGGAAGCCAGCCCCGACCTGTGTGGAGGGCATCTCTGGGGACCAGGCGTCCACAGAATCACTGCTGGAGTTGGCCAGCCGCTGCGGTTTGGCTGGTGGCGGTTGGATAACCTCGAAGAGTGAATGGGAGGAAAGACCAGTGCGCTGGGGTCGGGGTCGCAGTTCCCCATCTGGTCCTGGCAGTGATCACGGACGGCCATTTGGGCGAATGGCTTAGCACCACTGGACCTCTTTCCTCATTTACGAACGTGCAGGAGGGACCCCTGACCTCTGACGTCCCTTTCCACAAGAGAGCCGGCTTTCTGTTTATGAATCTCCTTGTCCCAGCCATCTGCCAGGCACTGAGGGGCGCCTGCTCCTCGCTGAGCCGGAGAAAACCAGATTCTTGGCTCAGCTGTCCTTTCCTATTGCATCTCCATTCATTCTTAATGCTGACTTCTCGTGAGCAAAACTCCCCTTAATCTCGTCTTGCTTGGATCTTGACTTGAGGTCCTGGACGCTAGAGCCGGTGGCCCGGGTCCAGATGCCCGCTAGCGTGCCGCAGCGGCTGGGCAAGAGATGTGGACGTGGGCATTTCTTTCTGTCATGGTCCCCACCTCCTGGTGGGCAGGTTCCACGGGAGCCGTGACACCCAGTCCACAGCGTTGCTGCAGGACTCGATGTGCACTTCCAAGCCTCACTGCCAGGTGGCCGCTCCGTCCACCCGCTAAGTGTGATCAGCCCCATCTGCCCCTTGTCTGTGCCAGTCGCTTGGTGCCAGGAGCACCGGCGCGAGGGGAGGGCCCCCCTCCGAGCTCCTCCCGAGGTTTGTCCTGGGCCACACCCACGTTCCCCGCCGGGGTCAACAGCAGGCTGATTATGGCTTCACTCCCTTCCCTCTTCTCTCTTCCTGCCTCACTCACGTCTACCAGGAGGGGAGCAGCTCCTGTTCACGGACGTGCTCTGGGGTCAGGCACAGGAAGACAGAGCCCCCTTCCCACAAGGAGGCACACGTGGAGGGCGACGTCGGAAAAGGACACGCACCTTCAAGAAGGCAAACTCTGATCTGTGCAGCTGGCAGTCGTGTGGTGGTAATTTCCCTGGTTTTGCATATTCATCTCAAACATCCATGCTCAGCCTCAGGCAGCGCCTGTTCTCAGCGCCAGGTGTTACCTGTGTAACGTGCGCACACAGGTGGACTCAGGTGTGTGCTTGGATCCAACCGGCACACCTGTGAGGTTGTGCGCGATGGTGGGGCGCTGGGGAGCGGCGATTCGCGGGGCCCTGCGTGTGCCGCGTGCGGGGCAGGTGTAGCTGACACACGCTCACTCCAGCTTGATCTAATGGCCTGTGTCTGGAGGAAGGACACATGCCCGTGACTCACTGGAAAGTGCGTGCAGCTTTCTGCCAGGTAACAGCCAGCCTCCCAGCACCCAGCCAGCAGCCGGCGCCCACCCAGAAGCCGGCACCCACGAGCGGCTCGAGGTGCCGGGGTTTGTTCTGATGTACAGGGAAGTGACCACGTGTGCCCACTTTGTGGAACAGCTGTTGTGCGGGAAGAGGAGACGCGGCCGTCCAGCAGATGAGATGGGCCTCCCGGCTGGGTGGGGCTCTCGTGGGCGGGCCCCCGCTCCCTGCCCAGTGGACACGGACTGGACCTCGGCGCCAAGTTCTGCATCAGAGCCTCTTCCTCGCCATGAGCACCTCCCACTTTGTCCCATGCTGTAAGTCCCTCCAACCCAACGTCTTGGCCTGAGGACGGCTGGCTAGTGAGCTGCAGGGCGGATCACTGAGTGACCATCTGTCTGATGGTTTACGTCTCGGGCCCCACCAGCCACTTCCATTGTTCTGGTCGTGGCCTCACGCCTGGTCACCCACTGGAGCTGTGGGGGAAGTGGCCACACCCCTCTGAGCAGCCACAGGAGACCCTCCTGGCTTCAGGACCGCGAGTGACATGGAGCCCACCACTGTAGCCCCTCAGGGGAAGAGTTGCCTCGTCCTCTGGGGCCTTGACAAGGCGTCGGCGGCAGCGCGGGCCAGCCCTCACGGTGACCCGCGACCCTCCAGGCTCTGCCCACACCCCCACAGCAGGTGCTTCTGGGAGGAATGCTTCCCTGTGCTCGTTAGAACAATGAAAGTGATCAGATGGAGACAAACACCCCACAGCGGAAGAGAACACAAACCAAACCCACCCGCAGACCTCCCCCCGCCTGACTCACCGCGAGCGTCACGGCGGGTGGGGCTTGGCGCGTGACGGCGCTCCCAGCCCTGACTCAGGGCTCGGTGGGACCCGGAGGGCTCTCGGTCCCCTCCTGCCGCAGCTACGGGCGCCTCACCTGCCCGGACACGGCAGGGAGGGGCGGGCTGGGACAGGAGCGTGACCACCAGGTGGTTTGGCGCTAAGCCAGCAGGTTCCGCCAGCAACGGGCACGAGCTGCTGGCTCCAAAGGAAGGCTGGGGAGCTCTGCCCTCTGGACTGTGTTTTCCTGGGTGTTTTCTAAGTTTCCCTCCAAATCTAACGCCCAGTTTCTACGCAGGATGGGTTGAACCCCTCCCCTCTGGCCACAGACCGGTCTCGGTGGGTTGGTGATGCTCACGGATGGGCTGGAGCTGCGGAGATGGGGGTGAGGGATGAACAGAGCCTCTGGGAGCTGCTTGCCTGGCGAGGGGGAGGGAGACACGGCTTCGTCATTCTTGACCCTCCACCTGAGGAAGGTGGCTGGGGCAGAATCAGGGCGGGGCTGTGTCCAGAGCCACGGCTGACACAGAGCTGCACCCAGGGAGGCGGGTCAGAGTGAGCCAGGCCTGTCCATCCAAGCGCAACCTCTAGCTGCTTGGGGGCCCTGGGTCCTGGCTCTGTGGCTCTAGGGGATGACACTGGGATGGGGGCTCCAGGTGTCACCCCCTACAAAGGGAACTGGGCAGCACCTAGTCCTGGGGCACAAAGCCCACACTGCAGGTGAGGAGCAGCCAGTGGAAACTGCCTGCTGAAGTGATGCTGTCAGAGTAGAAGCCACACCTGGGAGGCCTCGAGGGCCCTGTCATCACAGGTGAGTGCCGGGGAACCCCGACACCCCAGGTCAGTGTGGGGGAGCCCCGACACCCCAGGTCAGCGTGGGCGAGCCCCGACACCCCAGGTCAGCATGGGGGGAGCCCTGACACCCCAGGTCAGTGTGGGGGAGCCCCAACCCCCCAGGTCAGTGCTGAGGTTCAGCGTGAGGTTGGGGTGACCCTCTCACAAGGAGGTGCCATCTGCGTGGTTGTCCCGCTGGAGTCCGCGCTCCACGCCGGGATGTGGGAAGGCGGGCAGAGCATTGAGACTCTTCAAAATGAAATCCCTCCAGTGAGTCTGGAATCTGACCTGCCACCTGCTTCAGAAAACCTGGTGGTCCTTGGCCTGCCTCGGTGCAGGCAGGACCAAGACCACTGGCTGCATGTCTGGGTCACAGCCAGGAGCGCCCCTTGGAAGGCCCGTAAGTCAGAGTCCAGTTTCTTTTCCTTGAAAATTCTACTCTTTGAAAAAGATTTTCTCCTGACTTTTTCAGTAAAAAGCATTCACTCAAGAAAGAGTCCGCACACTTCTTTACAAAGTGGTGGGTAACACTTTCATGCCATCTGGAGTAGGGAATGGACTTTAGGGCAGACTCGGGGCCCTGAATCCCAGGCCATGGCTGCCCAGGGGCAGCGGACCGCAGCTCTCTGGACCTCCGCCTCCTGTCTGCGCCATGAGGACCACGGGACGTGCACCGTGGGGGCCTGGAAAACCCCCTCAGTGTAATAGGTGCGGCCTCCCTTTGAAGCAAATGAAAACACCCGCAGATGGGCACTGAGAGCCCCTGTAAGTGCATTAACACACCCCTGCTGTCTTATTATTCTTAGATACAAAGCTAATTTGGAAAGATACATGCTTTTCTTAAAGTTGCGTGGTTAAAAGGGTTTGGGAGCTGAGCGTAATTAAGAGAGAGCAGCTCTTAGCATGCGATCCTTGTAGCCAGAAGGAAAATATTAGATTACAGTCCTCACCACCCCCCGCCCTCGGCCGCTCCTGGACACCACAGTGGCTGTGCCTCGACCCCGAGTTAACCTCTCAGGGCTCCCATGGGCTCAAGGCCAGCGTCCACCAGGCACCCACTGGGCGGGCGTCCACCCTCCACAGGAGCCCTGGTGGGCACCCGGAGCCTTCTGCTGGGAAACCTTGGAGGCCTCGCTGTCCTCCCCTGGGGGCCGGCCCTGGGGGTGTCACTCAGAGCTGGAAGGTCCCTGCGAAGCTGCTGTCTGGGGTGCTCAGGGCGAGGGTGCCAGAGGTGAGCAGGTTCCCTCCTCGCTCTGAGCCTGCCTGGGGCTGGGGGGAGGCGCTCCCGCAGGGCTCTGAGGAAAGGCCCTGAACGAGTGGGCATCTCTGCGGTCAGCCCTGCAGGGAGGCACTGGCCCTCTGCATCTGGTGGCGTCTCGGCCCCTGGTCCTTCCCCGTTGGAGCTGTGGGGGACACCAGGGTCTGGGAGGGTGGAGTGGCGCCGGGTGCCCCCTCTTCGAGGTGTGCACTCCTTGGGCCCATCATGCAGACTGGGGCCCCCTTCCACGTCCGTCTCCCCGTCCGCAGGCCCGGGGCTCTGGGCAGTGGCTGAGCGGGGAGGCGTTCGGCACCATGGCGTCTTCCTGCTGTCGCCCTCACCTGCTGGAGGACCGGGCTGCCTGCTGCCATCTCACCTCGGGGATGCTGAGGCCTGGGAGACTGAGCTGGGTGGGGTCCAAAGCAGTGCTGGGGCAGCTAGGGTGGAGTGCAGACCCCGAGGGCAGGATTAGACCCCTCTGTCCGGGGGCTAACTGGTCAGTTTGCACTGTGAGCAGCTGGGGGCCGGCACAGCGCCTGCCCGTGGGCCGCGGGCACCTTCCCCCCAAACAGAACCCGTGCAGGTGCCCCGCCACCTCCAGTCACGCTGAAGGAAGCGGCACCTTTCTTGAAATCACAAAGCCATGGAAGCCACGTCCTCTGCCTCTGAGCCGGGGGCTGGGCTTTGGCTGCCGCTGCCAACCCATGAAGGCCGCCGTGGCTCGTCGGGGGCGAGCGCCATCCCTCACGGGCCTGGCCACAGTACCCCGTGGGTCTGACCTGGGCCCGAGCATAGCCCTGACGACCGTCCCAGCATGCCGTGCGGGGGCCAGGCATCTGCACCAGGCGAGGTCACTTCCCCCAGAGCGGCTTAGCTGTGACGGTTGGGGTCAAAGGAGGATGGTGAGCGAGGAGCGATGGGGAGACGGCCAGAGACAAGCAGGGTCTCAGAAAGCAGGAAACAGCCTCGGTGCCTGGTGGGGGGAGCCTGGGATGGGCGCTGTGAGCAAGGGGCCTGAGGACTGTCAGGTGGCCGGTCAAAGGCAGGCAACTGGGGAGGTGGGGAGAAGGGTCTGGTCTGGGGGCTGAGACCAGCGGGGAGACCCCAGCCTGCACTCACACGGGTCACACTGAGCTCAAGCACAGAAGCCAGCAGGACACCTGTGTTTTCTGGTAGAAAAATTGATAAATTTCCTTTACGTCTCTAACAGAGACTAAATTATGACCTTTTAAAAAGCTTAGGAACTGTTACGCTGAAAAGTAAATTTAAGGATGGGGCAGACAGATCTCCTGGGTGGAAGAACCCCGACTGAGTGATGTGGATTCTCTGCTCTCCAGGAGGGACAGCGAGTGGGGACACCTGGCAGATACCCGAGTCCGGTGACCGCAGCGAGCGGCACCTCTGACACGTGGCCGTGATGACTTCACCTCGGAGTCGTCCTCCAAGCCCCTCACCCAGTCTCACCATGGGAGAAGTGGCAGCCAAGTCCCCAAAGAGGGACCTTGTGCAGAGCACCGGACCAGCTCTCCTCGAAGCCAGCAGGGTCATCAAACACTGGGAAAGCCGTCTCGGCGCAGAGCAGCCTGAGGACACGTGACGCCCCGTGTCCCGTGGTGACCTGCTGGGATCCCGGGACAGAGAGAGGAACACTGAGGAGCTCTGAACAAATTACAGGGTTCAGTTAACAGTGAGTCGACATTGGTCCATCAGATAGGGTTCATCCGGCACACATTTCCAGCATTCGACACACTAATGGAACGTTAGCAACAGGGGAAACCGGGTGTGGGCATACAGGAACGCACCATTTTTTGTAACTTTTATGTAAATTTAAAACTATTCTAAAATTAAACACGTATTAATCAACTTTAGAAGTAAATTTAAATTATGGTGGTTAACAGAATAAAATCCCCTTTTGCGACTTTTCAGGGCCCTCCTGCAGCTCTGAGCCCCGGGGGCGGAGGAGCGGCCGCCCTCAGGGTCCTGACCGGACAGCGTCTCGGTAACAAGGCCCCAGAGCAGCAGGTTTCAGGAGGGATGCTGGAGTGCATCCACTTTCCTCCCTGCCCCCCCGGCCCCCAAACCCCGGGGGGATGACTCCCGCGTGGCTGGGAGCCGGTGGAGTGTGTGACCACGGGCAGGCCCCTGCTGACCCCGCTCGGGGCAGAAGGACCAAGACTGACTGCTCGCCTCCGCCCGGGATGACTGCGGTCTCACCTGCAGCCTCCGGCCTGACAGCACGGAGCTTAGGAGAGCGCTTTGAGTCGTTTCCCAAGTGAGGGGGCAAGGGGACCCCACGGGGAGGCTTCTAGCCTCCTGACCCAGCAGGGCCAGAGCGCCCCGCCCGCCCTGACGGTCAGCAGTGACCCTCAGCCAGGAAAGGAGGTGCAATGTTCCTGGGGGGAGGGCTGCTCCCGGGCACAGGTGTGTCTGCAGGAGAAGCCCACCCTTGCCTGTGTGGCAGCCCTCAGGGTCCCGGCAGACAGCGCTCCTCCCCGCCGGGGCCAGTGACCTCGTGGCTCCCTCAGTCCCCTCTGCCTGTCTCCCAGGAGCAGCTCTCCCATGAGAAGCAGGGTCCAGACAGGCAGCTCTTCCAGCCCAGGGGCCCCACTGACTCCCCTGCCCCCAGCCCTCCCTCGGCCCCTCAGCTGTAACTTCCAGCCCCAGGCTAGTTTCGTAATCTTTTGTATTAAAAAAATCTACCACAAGTGCATGTATTTCAAAACATCGTGTCAGAGCATCCTGTCAAAACACCCTCAACAGCGCAAGGTCCTATCTGTGAGCAGGGTCCCGTGCGTCCCAGCAACTGACTCAGGCTTCCAGCGGCAAACACAGCCACTGCAGCCAGGCAGGCAGCGGGGAGAAGCTGTTCCAGGACTTAACCCCTTTCTGCTTTTCTGGACATTTGCACATTTGCCCACCTTATCCCCTTCTCCCACCTCCAGCTCCTGCCTCTGTCAACCTCCATTATGTTCTCAGTATCTGTGAGTTCAGTTTTGAGTTTTTTTTGACTCTGCATACACGTGAGTTCCTACAGCATTTGATTTCAGTTGGAGAGGAGAAAGGACAGATTAGATTCCAGGAGCCCCATTAGATTTAAATTATTCAGCTTTACTTGCATTTGGAAAAGATGAAACGATTAAATGTTTTGTCTTACATAACGGCATGGGAAGTTTCCCTGACCTGCACCTCCTTGGGGAGCCCCTGCCTCTTCTCGGGGGTGGGTGAAGCTGGTGGGGCCGAGGGGACAGTAGCAGGGGCACCCAGCAGGGTCAGGGCCAGGTCAGGGCCGAGACT